TGCATACTGTTTCCTGATCTCCTGACTACTGGAACCAAGGTTGTTGATTATAGATCCAAGTAAGTGAAGTGCAGATCCTACTAGAGAGGAAATGGCTGCATCTTCGTCATCCTCCTCAGCTGGTGGGGTCAGTGGAAGTTCTGTCACTGGGTCTGGTTTCAGTGTCTCAGATCTTGCCCCACCATGGAAAGCCCTTTTCACCTACCCCAAAGGAGCTGGAGAAATGTTGGAAGATGGCTTTGAGGGATTCCTCTGTGAATCTGTTTTCACCTATCAAGTGGCATCCACACTTAAGCAGGTGAAACATGATCAGCAAGTTGCTCGGATGGAAAAACTAGCTGGTTTGGTAGAAGAGCTAGAGGCGGATGAATGGTGGTTTAAACCCATCGAGCAGCTGCTGGGGTTCACACCTTCCTAAGGTTGCTGTTGCCTCTAGAGCACAAGTGTAGAGCCGGCAAGGGCCTCTTCATAGTTCTTTGGCCTTCCAGAAGTTCCCATCTATATTTATTGCTGAGTTGTTTATTGCATCCACATTTGGTTTATCTGTTATCTCTCTCTAAGCAACAAATGCTAAAATATGTGATCTTTCAGGGGGGAAAAAAAATACTAAATCCTTTCAGATATAAAAAAATCTTTAACACACTTATAGTAATATTAATATTTTAGTGTATATTACAAAGTAGTACACTTTTACTATTATGAACCTTTGTACATATCTCAAATTGTTTTTCTTCATACCTCAAATTTTTAGTGTAGGCTTTACCAGAGTTGATTTCTACCAGTTGTGCATAAATCAGACATTGTAACTTAGAGACTGCTTGCATATCAGATTCTTAGGGTCCAAAATCATAATGCATCTCAGGAAAGAGAGTTACAAACTTTCTGATTCATATGTGAAGGGAATGATATATTTTATGCAAATTAATTTTTTAAAAATCTTTAATTTTTTTTGTTGTAATAAAAGGAGATCTCGTCTTGAGATACAGTATCCTCCTGTGCAAATAATCAAGTAGAAAAAAAAAAACCCTAGCCTCTTTCTCCTCTGTTCCTTGCTGTTGAGTCTATTCTGACTCATAGTTGCAGTGAATTTCCAAGGCTGTAAATCACACCTGAGCGTGCCTAGCTGTTACCCTCGGACCCACTGGTGCACCACCAGAAGGGTGTCAGCAGTGTCTCTCCCTACAGGCTTGTCCAGCAGAGCTCCTTAGTACTCTCCTTAGTTCTGAAATTTCAGTGATTTCTGTACGTGCAAATAAAATATTTTCTAATTAATTAAATGTCTTTTAAAAATATAAGTATTAAGCTTTAAAAAATTACTAAGTATTGGGTATATTTCTGTTTAGAGAGCTAAGAAAATGATTTTCTGTTGTATTTTTCACACATGAAATATATGTTATCCAGACTGTTTTGTTTTCTAAAGGAAGCATTTTAAGCTAATGGAAAAGGTAGATTAAATTTTCATTTCAACCAGTTTATTTGAATAGTCTTTCTTATATGAATTTCTTTTATTTATGGCAAACCCTAATGCCTTTGTGTGAATAATTCAAATTTGAGAGATTTGAGTACTTAATATGTGTATAGACTTTTATATCATTAAAAATTAAAATGTTCAAATTTAAGTAGTCATATAGCTCTCCATGAAGCATTAGAAACAATTTTGTAAAGCTAAGATGTTGGTAAAATAATTTGTTTTACTCTTTCAGTGCGTGGAAGAATTTAAAGATCGTATGCTGACGGAGAATGATCCTAGGTATCTAACCATTAAAAAAGTGGTTTATCATCTCATTGAATGCAATAAAGATGTCCCAGGGATTTCTGAGATCAATTGGGTTCTTCATGTGGTTGATTCTCCAGACAAAAATGCTTTTGTGTGCCCAGTAAGTAAATGTGCTCAAACTCCATTTATTGTTAAATTTAATGCCCATATTCTTTAATGGGATTCTGATAGCTTACATTATTTTCTTTTTTTGGTGTAGAACGGACAAATGTTTGTTTTTACTGGACTTCTATATAGCGTAAGTGATACTCATCAACTTGCCTTCCTTCTGGGCCATGAAATAGCTCATGTTGTGCTTGGGCATGCTGTAAGTACCTAAAATACATGTTCATGTGATAAAATGACGTTTTGAAGTTAGTTAGCAAGTTGAATCTTTTAAGTAATGGAAATTTAGTTTTTAGAAATTGTCTTGTTCTTATATTTAAAATAATACGATTGGCCAGTTTTGAGAATCTTTATGGTCTTTAGTATTGAATTCTGTGTAATTAGTATTTCTTTTAAGTACTGTTTTTATCACGTCTTATGTTAAAAAGTAATTATTCTCAGCCTTTAATTATTTCTAATTAGATTTTTAGGTTTCAGTAATTATTAACATACTTGTAATCACATCAGAAAATTAATTGTAAGAAGGTGATCAAATTATTTGAGTAAATCTGTTTTCCTACATTTTTATTCATTCTCATGGCACTTCTTTGAAACTGTCTAGAATGGTGCACTGTATATAATTAGTGCAGAGCAGTAATAATGATATGTTGCCATTTTACAATTTACTGAGATTTTCAATATGTACTTTCTCATTTATAAATTTAATCTCAACATGTGAGGTTAGTATCTTTTATCCCTATTTTATATATTAGGATAATAATATTTAAAATGACTTCACATAATATGACTGATGTGACATATTGGCAGAATTGGGAGTTTAGCCCCGCTGTTCTGTTTATAAATCCAGAGTTTCTTTTACTATGTTTAATTGATTGTTGGCAGCACTTTCTTATCTTCCAAAACAGGTTGATTTATGGTCCTGTGGACACTCATCTTTTTGACTTGGTAGGGATCTAAGAAAGCAACATGTATTTGTTTACCAAAAATGGCTTTTCTCACTTAAATCATAATAGCTCTTTCTTAATATTCTTACTAGGTTGTTATTAGTTTAAAAACATGAATGGCATATAGCAGAAATTTATTTTTAAGTGAGTAGCTCAATTTCTTTATTTTTATTAAATAAAACAAATAGAAGGAAAGGAGAGGAGGGGACCCAGCCTGTAAATGCAGGCTGCCTCTGGCTGCCTCTGGCTCCTGGAACTCCCAACCCCCAAGTCCTAGAAATTTATTTTTAAAATCAAAAATGTGAAGTAAATTTTAAAGAGATTGTGAAATATTGACAAAGAAGTGGAAATAATACTAATTTTAAATGGATATGGTGGTGCTAATAATAATTCTTAAAAGTCATCTCAAATTCTACATATTCCTTGGAGTATTAATAAGATGAGGTGGCCAAAGTTGTGCTTTGTTGAAGTGCAAATAGTAATTATCTCCTTTGTTTCATGATTTCCAAGGAAATTTAGAATATATTTTCTTAAATACATAGTAGAACAAATCTTCTAAGCAGTTCAAATAATACCATCATATGCATACTAAATCTTTCAAGTAATAGAATAGTTTCATAATTACAAAATTAATTCATTGCAGTCATTTTTAGCATTTCAAAGGTGCTTCTATTCTATGCATTTGTTTTTCTGATATCTTATTCAGCACCTCATATTCAGCATATTGTCATCTCATCAGAATAAGATCAATAATTAGAGGACATAAAAAGGAAATAGTCTAAAAAAATAGAAAATAGTTATTATTTCTCTAGTAGAGGCCTTAAACAGTATCAACACTGTATTTTCTCATTTAAGAGTCTCAATTTTTATTTAGTTTGTCTTTTGTGTTATTTGTTTATACTTTCCACAAACACACATACATTGCTTGTGTATTTCTAATTTCTAAAATTACAATAGCAGTTATGTTAACTGTTATTAACAAGGATTTGCTGTTCTGTAAAATGACAGCAATGTTTTATTACTCATACTTAAATAATTTCATAATTGATATTTATGAGATGCAGTTTTTTATAATAGATACAGAATATATTTTCTGAGCAGATTATGTTGTAGAAAGACTGGAGCCTTCAGCCAACTTTCATACATTTAAGTACTAGTTGCTGTAGTACTAATATTGTATCAACATTTATCAAACAACTTTAATAATAAGTGATAACCAATTCATCTGATTAAACTTACATTTTAGAACTCAAAACGGTCTGGATTTTCTAGTGTATAGTAATCCCACTTCTAAAATACAAATTTGTGTTAATAAATCATACTCCATTTATTGGATCACAAAGATCAAAAGACTTTGATTATAAAATTCATGTCTTTTTTCTGAGTAGAAAGTGTGTGAAATCTGGAACTTGTTCCATATTTCAACTGCTTTATAAAATAAGGTTTCTTCTCCAAGCATGTATATAATAAACAGTTACCTCATTTTATTAAAGATAAGGCTTAGTGGTAAGGAGTGACACTTCCAACCCAAAGTCACACAGTTCAAATTCACCAACTACTCTGTGGGAGGAAGAGAGACAGACTTCTCCTGTGCAACTTACAGCCTCTGAAAACTTGCTAGATGGTCTGTTTTGAGTCAGTTCCAATTCAATGGAACGTAAATAATAAATTTATTAGTATCTAAAGACTACTTAGATTTGATTCTTGGGTGTTTGATTAATAAATGTTTATATTTCAGCAACTTCTATTACATTTTCTCCAGCTCAGATTTGTTGTCTATAAAATAGGGGTGGTGTTGTTATTAAACTTTGTTTTCATTGTTTTTATTATTCTCAGGCAGAAAAGACCAGCATGTTGCATTTATTGGATTTCCTAGGTGTGATTTTTCTCACAGTGATTTGGGCCATGTGTCCTCGAGATAGCCTGGCACTGTTGTGTCAGTGGATACAGTCTAAATTACAAGAGGTAAGTTAGAGAAAATGGTTTTAATCATGAGAGTGTTTTAACATTACTGTAAAGCAACAAATAGCTAGAGATGTTTTCACATTTTACCATGAAATATTGGCACTTTTAGTGTATTTTGTTTCTCACTCTGGTGGCCTACTGTTTTAAGTTGTGCTGCCAATCCAAAAAGGCAGGCAGTTCCAATCCAACAGCTTCTCTCTAAGAGAAAGGTGGGCATTCAGTTCCAATCCAACAGCTTCTCTCTAAGAGAAAGGTGGGCATTCTCCTGTGTGATTTCTAGCTTCTGGAAATTCGCTGGAGGGTCAACTATGAGACAGTTCCAATTTGTCAGCAGTAAATAACAAAAATATAGATATGAAGGAGTTCTAGTGAAGTTGTTGTTAGGGGCCATCAAGTCATGTATTAGTCGTAGTGATCCTATGAATGACCAGCCTAAACCCTGCTTTATCCTGTGCCACCTCCCAAACAACTCAACACTCATCGCTGAAGTTACTGTCTCAGTCCATCTCATTGAGGGTCTTCCTCTCCTGTGACCACCCCATCCCCATCTTTCCAAGCTTGATAAGCCTCTCCAATGAACAGCCTTGCCTCGCTACATGTCCAAAGTATGAATGATGGAACTTCACCATCTTTACCTTCAAGAAGGACTCTCGCTGCATCCTCTTCAAAACATATATGTTTATTGCCTTTGCAGTCCATGGGATATTCAGTATTCATTTTCAGCACCCCAACTCAAAGGAATCAATTCTTCTGTCATTAAGGATGACATTATCCAACTCTCCAGTGTGTAGCAGGTAATTGAGAAGACCATGGCCTGAATTAGGTGCAGCTTTGTCTGCAAACTGACATCTTTGCTTTCCAGCATTCTGGAGAGGTCATTGACAGTGAACTTGCCCAGTGCAATCAATACATCTCCTGATTTCTTGACTACTGGTACAAGAGTGTTGATTGTTGATCCAGAGAAGATCAAATCATTGGCAGCTTCAAACCTTTCTCCATCTATCGTAATGTTGTCTGTAGGTCCTGTAGTGAGGACCTTTGTTTACATGATATTGAGCTATAATCCATGTCAGAGGCCGTAGTCTTTCATCTTTGCAGCAAGTGCCTCAAGTTTGTGCTATTAACTCAAAGGCCCTTCCTCTGTGGTGGTTCAGATCCCCTAGAGGTTCTGTGAGAGAAAAATGGCCAATCTTATCCTCTGGTTGGCTGTGAGTTAATTCCTACTAAATGATAATTAATTTTTGAATTTTCATATATGTATATAAACATTTTCATTAAACCCTGTATCTCAATAGGTTAGGAGGCACTAACAACTTTTGAGTAATACTATTTAAATTTTTTTCATATCCCTGTCTTAATAGGAAGGGGACACAGTCTCTGATCCTTCTTTTCACTCTTCCATTTTACCTTCCTGCTTTTCTTTTTTCGTTTCTCATAGTGATTGTGTTGTGCTAAAAGAATCCGTCTTCCCTCCTTAAAATATTTTTTTATTTTGACAGAAAACTCTCACAACCTGTAACATTTTAGGGGCAATAGATTGAATGAAGTTGCCCTCCCAGTCTCTCTCTCAGTTAAATTAACATTAAAGGGGAAATAATGAAAGAACAGTCTTGCCAGATTTTGTTAGCTTTTTTTTTGTTTTTAAATAGTGTTTACATGTAAGGAGAATTATCTTGTATGTCTGTTGAGGTTGTGATTTTCAAAACATTGCACCATTGAAAGTAGATCTTGTAATCTTGGTAATTGCTTTGTTAAATCATGATTAATTATTTTGTATCTTTTGTGAAATATTTTTCCCTTGTCCTAGGAGGTTTGGTTATTTAGGAACAATCTGTTATTTGTTTATTTAATGATTTGTGGAGCACCCATCAGAGTGCCATCTGGGTGCTGTTTCAGTGTAATGTGCAAAATTCTTTCAGACAAATTGCTTTTGAAATTGGATAATGTAAGTCTTTTCTTCAGTATTACCATTTCACGTGGCTTCATTTATTTTGAAGTGAAGACTCTTAAAAGGGAAAAAGAAATAGTGGTTATTGAGTAGGTTATAACCAAAACTTGCTTCTTTTGAGTGTTGATGGCTGTGGATCAGCTAGTAGGTTCTGACTACAGACTTTTGTTTTAGCATTTGAGTGCATAAGCCCCATGCCATTAGTGCTCATGATTGATTTTAGGATGTTGTATTTTCTGTTTTGTTTCTACTGCTGACCTCCTGAGAAGTCAAAAGAGTGAGTGAATGTCATTTTCCCATCTACCAATAGATTGTTTTTTCTGTAGTGGAGTCAAATTTGCTTATAAGAAAGATAACTTGTAGCTCTTACTCATTCTTGAAATATTTAGTGTACCTGGTCACTTTCTTATAAATGGAATAGAAAGTATTCTGGTTTGTCAAAATCCATTAGAATAAGACAAATTCCAAAAGTCAGTTTGCGTGAAAGCACTTTTTTGCCCCTCCTTATGATTTTGGTGACAAGAAGCTGTTTTTCTCTCTAGAGTGCTTTACTGATTGTATGACAGAAGGGGATGTTAATTGTAAAGTCATTGGGGAAGAAATTGCTGACAGCCATTAGCTAGAGGAGAAAATATATTCCACATGCCAGCGGCCCTCATTTCACCATTAAGGATGATTGTTTGTGATCTTAAAGATTTGAGTACATGTAACACTCCTCATAGAGCTTTAAGGAAAGGATTTTGAAACTATAAGTAATAACTAAATCGTAAGATAAAGATACTTGACGATTTATACTAACTTTTGCTCTCTGAAATTGATCAACATGTAGTCAAGATCATTAATAATAATTGGTGAATGGAATGCAAAAGTTGGAAGAAAAGAGGAACGACTGGAAGTAAAAAATTATGGGTGTGGTGATAGAAATGAAACTGGAGACTGATTGAATTTTGCATTATCAATGATTTATTCATTGCAGATACCTTTTCTTAGTGTCCAGGTCTTTCATTTCATAAGGTCCGCTATGAGTTGTCTACGACTTGATGGCACTTAACAACAACAACAAACACATATTATGACTATACTCATAGACTTTACTTGAAAGACAGGACAGTAGTCAAATTGACTACATTGGTGGAAAAGATCTTTGGAGAAGCTCAATACCAGCAGTCAAACCAGGCCAAGTGCTGCCTGTGAAGCAGAATGTCAGTTGCTCATATGTAAGTTCAAACTGAAGTTGAAGAAAATGAAGACAAATCCACAAGAACCAAAATACAGTCTTCAGTCTGTTACCCTGAATTTGAAATCCATTTCAAGGATAAGCTTGAGCCATTGAATACTAATGAATAAAGACTGATCAATGAGTTGTGGGATAATCTATGAAGAATGCAAAAGGTTATTACTAAGATGGGGAAAAAAGAAAAGATCAAAATGGATTTCCCAAGAGACTCTTAAGAATTGCACTAGAATGTTGTTTGGCCAAAATAAAGTGAAGGATTGCTGAAGTGAGATGAACAGAACATTTCAAAGGACAGCTACAGCAAAGTGTTAGAACAATATGTGCAGAGAGCTGGAGTTAGAAAAAAAAAAAGGGAAAAACTCGCTTGACATTTCTCAAGGTGAAAGAACTAACAAACAGTTTTAGGCTTTGAGCTGTAATGCTGAAGAATGCCATGGGCAGAATTCTGAATGATCCAGAGAGTAGCAAAAGAAGATAGAATATGCTGGGTCACTGGAGCAAAAAGAATTAGCCACCATGGAGCCATTTCAGGAAGTAGCTTATGATCACAAACTAATGGTGGTGAAGGAAGAAGTCCAAACTGGAAGTATTGGGAAAAAAATAATAAGGCCCCAGAACTTAATGGAATACCAATTAGCATGTTTAAATAAACAGATGCAACCCTAGATATGCTCACCAGGTTGTGCCAAGAAATTTGGAAGATAGTTACCTAGCCAGCAGACTGGAGGAGATCTATATTTGTTCCCATTCCTAAAAAACTATGATCTAACACACTGGAAATTATCAAATAACATCACTAATCCCACATGAAAGTAAATCTTGCTCTTATTGTGTGCTGTTGAGTCACCTGAGTAAGGTGGTTATTATTATGTGATGTCGAGTCACCTGCAACTTTTAGCGACCCTAAAGCCTGCCCTGTTCTGAGCCAGTCTCACTGACTCCGGCACACCAACCCCCATTGACCTAGTTACTGTATCAGTCCATCTCATCTGGGGTTTTCCTCTTCTGCTCTGGCCCTCTACGCTTCTGAGCATGATGTCCTTCTCCAAGGATCAGTCTCTCCTTGGCCACATACCCAAAGTATGTGAGATGGAGCTTCAAGATGCTAGCCTCCAAGGTGGCCTAAGTGGCAGGAAGCTGCACTGCAGTCCCTGAGGTACGTGGTTTGAATCCACCAGATACTCTACTGGAGAAAGAGGGGCAATCTCCTCCTGTACCAGTCAGATCCAATTTGATGGTACACACACACAAAATAATAAAACTCTTTTTTTTTTAATGATCCTAGCCTCCAAGGAGAAACTTGGTTTCACCCTCTCCAAGACAGGCCTATTTGTTTTCTTTCTGGTCCATGGTATGTTCAAGACTTATCTCCAGCACCACAACTCAAAATTATCGATTTTTTTTCTGTTGTCTTTAGTCATTATCCAGCTCTCTGGTGCACAGCAAGTAATTGTGAAGGCCATGGCCTGGATCAGGTACACCTTACTTAGTCTCTAGACTGACTTCGTTACTTCTCAGTACTCTGGAAAGATCCCTGACAGCAAATATACCTAATGCAATTTGTCTATTGGTTTCCTTACTGCTGGTGCCAAGAATATTGATTGTGGAGCTGACCAAGTTATAACTGTTAACAACCTCAATCTCTTCTCCATCTATCATGGTGGTGCCAGTTGGCCCAGTGGTGAGAATCTTTGTCTTCTTGATGTTAAGTTTCAGTCAGCTAGAACAGTACAGCAGTAGAAAACTGCCAGAGATTCCTGCTGGATTTAAAAGATACTGTGATACCAAGTATATCATTACTTGATGTCAGATGGA